GAAAGATGTGCTTGGGTCTGTCTGCTGCGATGAGTAAAAGCTTCAGGGACGAGGCAAGGAAGATGCCAAGCAGGAGAGGTGAGGAGGAGGTTAGATGTTTAACTTTGTTCCTCTTGGCTTTGAGTGGGCTTAGAATGTCCCCCTCCCCTAACCTCTGACAAAATATTGCTGTTTACTATCGGAAGTTCATTTTGTAGAATCCAGATCGCTTGCAGACAAATACTAACAGATCCCAGAGGAAAGCAAATAGGTTGGAGAAGCTCAGGTACTCAGAGGGCGGGTGGAACCCAGGTAGGATGGAGGCGGATATGAAATGCAGAAAAATAAACTGCCTTGGGGGACTCAAAAGGTAAAATGAGAAATACGGCGGAGTTTGGCTTGGAAAACCGCAAGGGTTCCATCTGGGGAGAGTCATCTGAGACCTAGCCCTGTGGTGAGAAGGTGGGCCAGGGAGGCTCGGAAAATGATAACCTTAAGGCCACCGAAGATTGAATGTGAAAGGCAGACTTGAGTGGAGTCGGCAACACAATACAGATGCTTTCAGAGAAAACGCCTTCCCCTGGGGCAGCTGGTGCGGGAACACGAGCTCTGTGAACTCAGGCGGGACCAGGTGCAGCCTTTCCAAAGTCGTTAAAAAGTTCTAGGCTAGAAAAAACCCAAGACTGTACAGGATGGGACGTGAATCATCTACACCCCTGGGAGGGACCCAGAATAGTCCTCCCTCTTTGCACTCGGAACTCCAAGTAAAGGTGGATTGTCTGCCTCCCAATCTTGGCTTTTTTTCAGATGACTTTTTCCAGATGGAACCCTAGCATTTTTCCAAACCAAACTCCAGAGTAAAGAATAAGATGTTTGCAGGAAAGGCAGGAGAAGCCAGAACCAGCCTAAGTTTAAACTTGAAAAGGGCCAGGGAGTCCGGACTTGTAGCTTAGCCTCGGTGTCACCCAACCAGTCTCGTTCGCCTGATGCCCGGCAAGCCAAGGTTTGCAACAAAGAGAGGGTTTATTCACGAGGCAGCCAAGCGAAGAGGCAAGGGGCTCAGGTATTTATGGGATAAAGAAGCAGGCTGGTCTGGGGCATGGGGAGTGTGGGGAAAGGCGATTGGAAATAAGAAGGTGCAGTAATTGTTCTGTAAAGGTGTAACTAAGCTACAGGCCTCTGCACGTTAAAAAATGCAGGCGCTTAGCACGTGTGCTTGCGGAGTTCTCAGCCCTCTGACGTGGAAGGTCACCAGGCTGCCCAGCTGGAGGGTTGGTGGTCCCATCCTGCCTTAACTGGCTCAGGGTTTACTAGACACATCTGACTCCACATTCCTGGAAGACTCAGGCAAACATTTTATTCTTTACTCCACGTGCTGCTTGGAGGGCATCCAAGTTTTTGTAGCAACAATATGATTAGTGAAGGCAGGGTTACAGGTGAGATGGATGTAAGTGAAGATCACCCACAGTTTCATTGGTACTCAGAAAAACCATCACAAAATTCACTTGGAGACATTTAAAGTACACTTCAGAAAGTACAAGAGAAGCTCTGTTAACCAACGCGTACTGACTTGCCAGATCATTTGACACTCACCATTCTCTCTGTAAAGCATATGTGTAACCAGCTGAATATTTACAACTAGATGTCTATCCCAGACTAGGGTATTATTGGCAAAGTGCAAAATGATTGATGTATGTGTAAGCACTAATTGTAACAGCAAAAGATTGCAAACAACCCAGAGCTGTCGCAGTAGGGGACTGTACTTGGTCCCCACGGTGCCTGTACAGTGGAGAACCTCCAGCTGTTTAAAGGGCAGAGAAGGATCTCTATTTATTGCAATGAAGTTATTATCCTTAGGATAACACTGAGTGAACAAAGCAATTCACAGGTGGATATTGGATGCTGACTTTTTTTATAAAAGAGTGGGTTAAAACACATTTGCTTATATTTTCAAAAAGAAATGATGGAGAGATAAACAAAAAGCTTGAAGTCTAGCCACAATGAGGTCTAGCAGAGATAAATGCCAAACATTAAACCCAGGAAGCAAACAAAACTGCACAGATACGAGCAGAGGGAATGCCTCCCCAGGCGGTGGTTTAGGTCACATCTGGGGACTGTGTCTGTGCCAGGAAGGCAGTCTCTGCTGAGCATAGTAGAAAGGGTGAGGTATGGTGGCGGGTGGGGGGGTCAGTTTTAAATCCTGGAACTTGAAGTTTTGCAAACAAGAAACACGTTTGAATATTTGGAATAACCAACCGGTGTGCAGCTGAAAGGAACTTTGTCCACTAGTTTTTTTTTTAACACTTTTATTATGATATGATTCCTATACAGTAAGCTACATATGTTTCAGATGTACAATTTGATGAATTTTTATAGATGTATATACCACTGAAACTACCACCACAATGAAGATATCTAACATTTCCATCACTCCCCAAGAGGTGTAAATTTTGAATTCCCAATTTACCCCTTCCCATCCCCTTTCTCCCTTGGTAACCATAAGTTTGTCCTCTATGTCTGTGAGTCTGTTTCTGTTTTGTAGATAAGTTCATCTGTGTCATTTTTTAAAGATTCCACATCTAAGCATATCATATGGTATTTTTCTTTCTCTTTCTGAATTACTTCACTTAGAATGACATTCTCTAGGTCCATCCATGTTGCTGCAGATGCCATTATTTTATTCTTTTTTATGGCTGAGTAGTATTCCATTGCATGTATATATGTGTGTGTGTGTGTGTGTGTATACCACAATTTCTTTATCCAGTTATCTGTCGATGTTTTGTCTACTAGTTTTGATGGACAGAGAATACAGTGGCTGAGGTGGTGATGTATATGGTGGTAGTTTATTTTTTTATTTTCCAATTGTTATTCTCAGAGGAGATTGGAGAGATTTATAAGAGGCCACAGTCAAGGGCTTTTGTTAACCTCACTACTGGCAGTGTGCTCACTGCCGTTTTCTTAGCCTTGAATAGCTAAGACCCCAAAGTTAACTCTCTTTTGAGCCTTTCAGTAAGTGAAAGCAACTAATCCAGGCTGCTCAGAGCTTCAGGACAAAGTCTATCTCCTGGGGACACTGAGGAATGAACAGTGTAGATCAAATCGTAGGGTGACCCAAATGGAAAAGAACATGGTGCTCACAAGCAAGGTTGAGACTCTTGCATCAAGCCAAACATTGACAGAAATTGCTGCCAGAGACTTAGAAACGTCCCTTCTATGTGGAGATGAGTTTTGAGATGGGAAAACTGACAGACCTTCTGTTCCTACTGAATAATATTCACCCATCCTTTGGGGCTCAGTCCAAGTGGAGTGACTTTCTCCATTCTTTGTTTCTATCTCTCCCATTTCACAAAAAAAATACTCTAAAATGATAATGTGTCATCATGGAATTAGGTTAGGTACTGAGGACCACAGATCCTGGTGGAGGGAAACAGCCCAGGAGAGGGTGGCCTTGCTGGAGAAAGAGTTGTCTCAGCCACACCTTGATGGACAGACAGGAGTCAGCCAGGTGAGGCATTCAAGGCAGAGGGAGCAGCAAGAGAAAACACAGGGAGGATGAAAGAGTAGAATATGGACTTGCCTCCAGAGATGCCCCTTCCTGTCATCTGCCTGCGGGAAGGATGCCTCACAGTGGCCTGGCCTGCTGCACTCATAGACTTTCAACCAGCCCCTCAGGTTTTCATCCCCACCCTTGGTGCAGCTGGTGTTGCCATGTCTGGAGTATTTCTAGTTCCCAAGGGTCAAACTTTCCCCCTTCTTAGCTGCTTCTCCCACCCATGGTGCTCTGGGAGGCCGGTCCCTCTGCTCTGATACATCAATTTCCCCTCTTCAACTGCTTTCCCACTGCCAGGAGCTCTTGGAAATCTCTCTCACTGGTGACCTCTCGTTCTCTTTGTCGTTGAGTTTCGGCTCCCCCACCCACTTCCATTTCCGTGGGCTCTTTGAAGGGGGCAAGATAACTACCTGTGAATAGTTTTCTACTTTTAACAGAAAAGGTTCAGTATAGGTGCGTTTCTTCACAATTTTCTCTAAGAATGCTCCTTACAAATATAAAAGGAAACCATCCTCTATTTAAAATGCAATCATTAACATTTTATGCATACATGGAGACATCATCCTTCAGTTTCCTAATATGCAAATCTGTAATTAGATCATTTTCATTTAATACCACCCCCCTGTCAACACACACACACAAAATAAAAGAACTCTACATTTGTCAAAATAGCCCAGGAGCATACATACTGTCTCTCTTCTCTCCCTGAGTTCTCTCATTTCCTAAATCCCTCAGGGAGCCTGTTATTGGTTCCCTGGCGGATCCTGTGCCTTTGATCACAAGTTCTCCTTCAGAATCAACCGTGGTCCTTGGACTTCCGTGATGTGAGTCACTGGTGACCGACTGTGTGTGTTATGAAGGTGACGATGATGATGATGCCATGAGGGAAAATGAGTCAGGGCAGTATCTGAAACCCAGTTAGGCTCTCAGTAGGTTTTTAAAAAACTAATTTTTCCTTACAGTTTTGAAACAATCATACCGGTTTGTCTTCAGTTTATTCCGTGATTGAACCCAAATTTGGCCACTTTAGGTATTGATAACTCTTCCAGAGTATTTTATCTGTGACACATCTGGTCCCCTCTTTGCTGCTGTGAGCATTGCACCACCTACCTAAGCAGCTGCACAATCTCCTAGTTGGGTTTATCAGCAGAGAACAGGTCACAGAAAGACTAATTTTGTCTAATGGTGGATCACAGTCCCTGAGCAAGGATGAGGCAGACCTTCCCCGCCTTCCGTGCCCCCTCCTGACGATCATCGGGAAGCCGCTGGCCCACAACAGTTATGGAGCCCGGGTATCTGCCTCCCTCCTGCAGGGCACTTACTCATAGTTACCTTTTATACTTTGCAAATTCCTAAGTTCACTTGCGCTTAGTTTCAGCGGCATTTAGTGCTTTCCGGCTTGGCTTGGGCGAGGGCGCCAGAACGCCGGCTCAGGCAGCTGCCCCCGGCCCTCTGCCCCCTCCTCTAGCAGAAAGCAGCCCCGAAGAAGTACTCGCAGTTCAGCGCCGATGCGGCCGAGGCCATCGCCTTCTTTGACTCCATCATCGCGGAGCTGGACACGGAGAGACGGCCGCGGGCCGTGGAGGCGGACCCGCGGAATGAAGACGTGGACTTCGATGGTGAGTGCTGCCCCGCTGCGGAAGGTGGGCGGGCGGGGTCTCCGGAGCGGACTTCTCCTGATCAGGGGGAGACTCGCCTGCAAGCCAGAGCCTGGGCCTGAGTTTGCTCTGCTCCTTGGGCCGCCTTGCTTTAGTGGTCCCTGCTGGCTCCCCTCCAGGCTGCCCCTTCCACCCGAGACAAGAACCCCTTCCCTGTGGTCCGTCGACCGCAGTAGCGACAGGGTGGAATTTGGTAAGTTTCCACGAGGAAGAGAAATAGGGCCACAATGAAAGAATGGGATGGATGGGGCGTTGTTGCATGGATGTGGAGACAGAGTTTCAGTTTTGCAAGATGACAGTTCTGGGGATCTGTCATACCACGAAGTGAACAGACTCGACACTGCTGAATTGCACGCTGCAAGATGGCTAAGATGGTAAATTTCAAGTTATGTGTATTTTGCCACAATTTTAAAAAGAAGAAGAAAAGGGAATAGACAAATTATATTTAAAAATTGGGCTTGTGGCCCTACTGAGCTGGCTTGGCCCTGAGCAGCACTGTCTGCTGGGCCCGACTCTGACCCGCCTCCAGCGCGTCCCCTGTGGGCCTCACGGGCCACCCCTCTACAAGGAGCTGCAGGGCAGGAGGGGGCCAGGGTGCTTACTCCAGCCCGGACTGTTGGAGGGAGAGTGAGGTGAGGACGGGGTGGCTCACTCCTGATGGAGAGCGAATAATCACCTTCACAGGTCCAGCCCACTTTCAAATTCCATTACTCAGTTGTCAGTTTCTTTCATCTTTGACTTGCCCCCCATGATGCCATTCATGACGATTTAATTTAGGGGTGACTGGCCCCTGGTTATTGAGGTAACAGCTTTTGGTACCAATACGAATTAATTCTTGAGCGTTTTCTCTAATGCGCAGAAGATTACATCCTTGTGGTGCGTTGTTCTGGCCTCGATCGATGTGTATCTGTGAGATCTTGGTTCTCACTGGGTTCTGAGGAATTTCACAGAAGGAGGCTCCCCCTCCCCGAGCACATTGTACCCTGTGGGGGGCCAGCCTGCCCTCCTGCAGACCCTCAGTCCCTGCTGACAAAGAACAGCCCCTCCTCAGATGTAGAACCTGGGAGATCCGGGGCGTTGGTCAAAGGCCACAAAGATCCATTGATGACGCGAGTGTCATCTTCACTCTTAGAACTGGTTCGTGGAAACGACCATGTGTTTTCTCCAATAACAACAGTAACGTATGTTCGTTGTAAACCAAATGAATCAAACAACACACGGAAGTATAAAGAAGAAAGTGAAGAATTTGCCCTGTCATTCTACCACCCAGAGACAGCCATCGCTCCTGACGTCTGGGCGTGTGTCCTTTTGAAAAGGTTATAAACACACAGACTCACGTCACTATTTTTAAAAAACAAAAATAGGATCTCTTTGCTATTTGCTATCTACTCTTTTCACTTAGCAGTTTACAATACATCATGGGTGTCTTCCCAAGTCAGTAAATACAGATCTATGTGCTTATTTTTAATGGACACACGACGTTCCATTGTCTCCCCACAACCACTGCAGAGTCAAATCATGCGCATTGCTTGGCTCTCCAGACCTTCCTTAGAATGTCCTGTTTGCTGTGTGTATTTACTGCGAGTCCTCAGCCCGATCTGCCCTCTCCGTCACCTTCTGCTCCTCCCCACGGTGAGTCCTCCCCTCCCGGGGGCCCTGCTTCTCTCTTCCAGTGGCCACCAGCTCCCGGGAGCACAGCCTGCACTCCAACTGGATCCTGCGAGCCCCGCGCCGCCGCTCCGAGGACCTCGCCGTGTACACGACGGACGGCCAGCTCCGGAGGAACGCAGAATGCAGGACCGTGGGCACCCAGAGGAGACTCGAGAGGCACCCCATTTACTTGCCCAAGGCTGTGGAGGGGGCATTCAACACTTTGAAATTTAAGCCCAAAGCCTGCAAAAGAGAGTAAGTGCCTGGGCCACACAGCATAACCAAGGTGTTCTCATGCCCACTAGACGCCAGGGTGCCTCTCAGGGGCCTTGAAGCCTCATCCTGTGTGGAAAAATTATTCCTGGGTATTTGGCGGGAAGGGAGGTCCTAGTTTATAAAACGTTTTGACAGCCAGTACTCCCACTCTAGCTTAGTTCACTTCTGTCCCCGCTGTCCCTCAAGCCCTGGACCTCCCGCCTTCCTTTCTGGCCTTAGCCACCCCTTCTCACTGTTCTCCCCACGTGCTACTGACACACTGTGTGCTACAGATTTTTAATGAGAGTTTGGGGTTGAACAGGGCATAGCAGCAGGAGGGAACCAATGCTAAAGCAAGCAGATGGCCCTGCCTCGGACGGGCAGCAGCCAGGCTCAGACAGGAGCGTCGTGCGGGCTGAGCCCCTCCTGGCACTCTTGCCTCCATCTCTTGGCCCCTCTTCCTGTAGATCCTCTTCTCCAAGACGAGTTGCCATGTCTAAGCCCCAGGTCACCGTGACTTTGGAATGCGGAGAAGTATGTGCAGGGAGCGCAGCTCTCATCTGTCTGGGCTCGTGCACCCTTCTGTCCTTATTTCTGGAAGAGCCCGTCCACTTGGATGGATTCAGGGCTTTTCTAAGTAGCGTTTTCGTCCCATAATAATGGACCCTCTACTGGACACATGAAAACCAGGACTGAGCCCTCAGCACCCTCTTCCCCTAGAAGGCCCGTCCAAGGGCCAGCTCAGGCCCATCCGCAGCCCCTGTGATGACACTGCTTTGTCCTGCATGAGGTCCAGCACTGGGTGGGCGGGGAGGGGTGCCTCCCAGCCAGAGCATCCTTTCTCTGTGCAGCCGGCCGAACCAGACGTAAACCTTCTGCCTCATTCCTCCTTCCAGCCTTGGGAGCCGCAGACAGATCCTCTTCAACTTCTCGAGAGAAGACATGGACTGGGATTCGGAGCTGTTTGCGCTGGAGCCCCTGGCGTCTCAAGAGGGGGACTCCTATGAGACAGAGAACCCCAGAGGGCAGTGGCTGCTTCGAGAGCGACTCTGGGAGCGGACTGCGCCCTGATTCAGGCTGGGTCCCCGAGAAGGCGCCTGCAGTCAGCGGCTTGAGGTGTCGGTAGAGTTAAAGATGGAAATCCTAACAAAGTCAGACCCACGAGTACACTGCCTGCCGGTGCCTGGTCAGTGCCAAACGCACCCGTGGCCTCTGGGGGGCGCCGCACGAGGAGAGCCGTGGAGCCTGGCTTTCCCTGCGCCGGCGTGTTAGCCTGGCATGACGCCAGGCTGGCCTTCAAGAGCAGAAGCCACAGAAGGGCCAGGCTCCCTCCTCGGCCTCCCCTGGCCTGTCACCGGCTCTCCACGCATCTGTCCAGGTGGCTGCTAGCATCGTGCTTGGTACAGGAAACCGGGAAACGTGCCCACCCACGCATCTCTGGGCCAACGTTTTCACAGAGGCAGCTCCTCCCTCTACGGGGCTCAGAAACCGCTCTGGTCATACGCTCAGGTTGCCTTCTTTCGTGCAGAATGCAGTTCAGGAAGCAGCTTTTTTTCACCCTAACCCTGTTTACAGTGTTCTGGAAACGTCTGCTAAATTAGGCTGAAGATGAGGCCAATGCCCTGACAGTGGGCTGGGGGGAGGGGTGTGACAGGGCCATGCCTGGGGACCACATTCTCCCCACCGGCCCCCAAATTCAGCTCCACTTCCTGCAGATGTGGGCTGGGGAAGGAGGGAGGTGACAGGTGCTTGTCTCCTAATTCTCACCAGAAATCCTTGTAGACACCCCTGCAGCGGCTGTATGCCGGGCTGCGTCCCTCCCTGCGCCCAGTCAGGAGGGCGAGCAGCGCCTTTTGGAGTCGAAGGGATCTCCGATTTCCATAACTGTCCGAATCAGGGTTACAGATATAACTTATTCTTTGCATTTCTCACGTAACATATTCTTTTTGCACTTTTGCATATAGCTGTGACCATGCAAGTTTGAGCACCACTGGTTTAGAGAATACACTGCACTTTGTCCATCCTTACCTATTTCTGCTGGCATTTTCTTGTGTTTTTTTTTTTCAGAAGATGTCACCTGGGGGCAAAGTGCAAGAGCATTAGTGGGGATCAGCGCGGGAGACAGACCAGGAAAACCCAGCCAATCACCCAAATTAACCCAGGGGTGCTTTAGGCTAAGGTCACCCTGAGAACTGAATAAAGCGTCCCATCTGCCAGGCCCAGGGGCTGATGTTCTTACTGTCCAGGTTTTTTTTTTAAGAAAGAACCTTTTGTTCACGTGAACCTGATTATCTGACATTTGTAACTCCTATGAGAAAAAACAGAAAGCCCTAAAATTATTGTCGTGTTCTTAACATTTCTTTTTCACTAGTTTAAATAAATTAAAAAAAAAAAGTTCCCAGGGGATGCCGATTCTGCTGGTCTGGGGTGGGCACTGTGAGAATCGATGACTCAGAGGTTTGAGTGTTGAAAGGTGAAAACACAGGAGGCGGGAAATGGGGCAAGGAAGTTTATAGCAACACGTTTTCAGAATGAATATATGTTGGAAAGATTTCAGTACTAGCCTTCTTTATCTTCTGAGTGCCAATGTCAGTGTTTGGGACTTTTCCTTCATTTTGTTTCTTATGTTAAGCCCACTACAGCCAGAAGCTTGACTGAAGAAGAAATGTTTGGGAGATTTGTTTCATAAGCTGCATTAACGCGAACCCAGTTCCAATACCAAGTATCTTTCTTCTCCCCAAACGTGGCTTTGTTTTGAGGCCCTGCTCAGATAAGCGTTCACTGCTCAGGACAGACTCAGAATAAAGGTCTCTTTACTCTGCCTCTGATCAAACTACAGTTCCTCATCCATCAGCCCTGACGTTATGTCGTGAAGAAGATGTTGTATATATTTTGCTTTTATAGATAAGAAAAAAATAAACAGGACAGAGAGGATGTTTAGCATCTTGAGTTTTTTTTAAGCATTTATTGCTCATGGGACATGAAGCTGTGTTTCTCTTTTGCTTCATGTTTGTGTATTTTTTGTCTTTAATGAGACTATACACAGACTGCCTGAAAATTCCATGATTCAGAAACATCAGGCTGGCTTGTTTGGGGATGATTTTAGGTCTTTTGAATTGGTGATAAACCCCAGGATCTGGGCCCTGCCTGGGGAATCGTGAGAGGGTGTCTGCTGGCATCTTGAGATAAGTGAAATTTGAGGCAATAAAAGTCAATTCAGTAACCAGCTGATGTAGTTGATTCATTTCTCCCCTGGAATCGACTAGTTATGTGATCAGCTCATTTTTGGGGTGCTGTGTTAGTGGCCTCACCTTTCCCAGGACTGTCTCAGTTTGAATATGTGAACATCTAAGTATGCTTAGACAGAATGTCCAAACAGGGCATATGAACCCCCGGGCATCTGGCTTGTTCTTTAGCTCTGGTTTCTAGCTCCCACCATAGCATGTATTCTCCCTCACGGAGGAAGATACAGGGGAGCCTTCAGTGTGACTCTTGTACATCCAACCCTTTGGCTGGTTGCTAGGCAACTGAGACAGGGCTTTTCTGGTGCCCACTCTTAGAGCCCACAGAGGTTCTAGCAGGAAAGTGTAGTCGCCTCATCACTGGTGGCCTTTTCTTAGTAGGTTGGCTCCCTGTTGCTGCTGTAACAGATTACCACAAATTTAGGGGCTTCGCTTATGGTCTGGAGGTCAGAAGAGCCAAAATCAGTCTCACTGCAAGAAATCAAGGTGTGGGCAGAGTTGGTTTCTTTCAGGAGGTTTTGAGGGGAGAGTCCATGTCCTTGCCTTTTCGGCTGCCAGAGGCTGCCTGCATTCCTGGGCTTGTGACACGTTCCTTGCATTCCCCCAACCTTTCTGCTTCTGTTGTCACATCTCCAACTACTCACTCTGGCTTCCTGCTTCTGTTTTATAAGGACCTTTGTGATTACATCACCCACCTGGATAATCCACAGTCACCTCCCCAGCTCCAGGCCCTCCACTTAATCAAATCTGCAAATCCTCTTTTGCCTAATAAGATAACATTCACAGGTCCCGAGGATTAGGATGCTGGCATCTTTAGGAGGCCACTATTCAGCCTACCACACATAGTGTTACAGGATGTTCTGGTTCTGATTCATCTGGCCCGACTTGCTTTTAAGTTTGGTTACAACAGCCTGGTATCTGTGGCAAACTTTGACTTAGCTTATATTTCCAAATTCCTTTGATTCTAGCAGCTACCCTGTAATTTTGTTAAAGTAAAATTCTGCCTGGTCTGACAGGTTCCTGTTTCAGAAAGGGTTTTCAATGGTACCAAATTCCCAAGTGGAAAAACACAGTGGTCCTGAAAGGATGAGGAGTGGGTAGCAGTTCTGCAGAAACACTGCTGCTGGTTAAGAGTGATGTTTTCCTTCAATCAATCTGTCAAGTCTCAATTAAGCAACGGCTATGCACCAAGCAAAATAGTACAAGACGCACCTTCTGCCCTTTGGCAATTTGCATCCAAAAGGGGGAAGATGGGATGAACTCAGATGAAATTGTGCTGAGCGTCTGCTGCTTCACTTAGCGCTGCTGAAGGCTGGCATCCCACGAGGGGGGACAGCATGCAAGAGGACAGTCATCGGGATAGTCACGTTAAGGGGATGCCATGCACCAAAGGGCAAGATTTCTATTGAGTAGCCATGGAAAGTCAGGTTGAGTATATTGGAGGAAGTCAAAGAGGAGTGGAGAGTTGATCAGATGGAGATTAATAATCAAGCACACAAAAACCCTAATTTCCAAAGATACCTGAATCCCCAAAGTTCACAGCAGCACTAGTCACAACAGCCAAGACAGGAAAGCAGCCCAAGTGCCCAACAACAGATGACTAGCTTAAGAAGATGTGTATATATACGTGATGGAATACTACTCAGCCATGAAAAATGAAATATTGCCATCTGCAGCAACATAGATAGACCTAGAGATTATCATACTAAGTGAAGTCAGTCAGATAGAGAAAGACTAATTGTTATATGATATCAGTTATATGTGTAACCTAAAAAATAACAAATGAATCTATATATAGGATGGAAACAGACTCCCAGACATAGAAAACAAACGTATGGTTAGCAAAAGGGAAAGCGGGGGGATGGGGGTGATAAATTATGAGTACGGTATTAGCAGATACAAACTACTACAATTAAAATAGATCAGTGACTGTGCAGCACAGGGAACTATATTCAATATCATGTAATAACCTATAAAGGAAAAGAATCTGAAAAAATATATAACTGAATCACTTTGCTGTACACCTGAAACTAACACAATATTGTAAATCAACTATACTTCAATCTGAAAAAATGTGAAAAAAACCCAGAGCCCTTGGAAGACGAAGTGTACTTGTGGGGGTGAGCCCCTGAAATGCTGTGGGATTAAATCAGCCCAAGCTTCCCATATCCTCAGGAAGAGAAGCTCTCGGGCCCCAGATCAGACTCTGGCAGCTGACTTTGCCCAAGGTCCTGTGTAGGTCAACCACATCATCCGCAGGTGAGAGCTGCTTCCAGCTGCTCCAGGTGTCAAACAGGGTCCCCCAGATCCCTAGTTCTTCATCAGCACCCGGGGTCTGGGCAGCATTCCTCGGAAGGAGAGGGGGTGTGGGGTGGCACTGAGGGAAGTTTGGGCAGATACACTTTGTCAATCAATTTATGCAGCCATGTTGGTTGACCTCAGGCCACAGAAGATGCCAAAGTCTGCTGGACATTCTCTGGGGGGACTTGCCCATGTTTGTTTATCCATTTATTTGTCATTTAACAAAGAATGTTGAGCATGTACTTCGTCCCAGCCCTATGTCTGGGGAAATGATATAAACAGAGCCTCTCACGGAAATGTCAGACTGCTGGGAGATACACACGTGAGTCAAAGGATTACACTGATTCCCATGAATCATGGTAAGGGCCGTGAAGGAGGCCCACAGGGTCGCGGGGAACTTGTCAGAAGGGGTTCGAGCTAGTCAGGGCAGCGTGGCTTGGAGAGAACTTTCCAGATTCAGCTTGGCTTCATCTGTCACACTCAAATACTCGACTGTCACCTCCTCAGAGAGGCATTTCCTGACCCTACCCTATCTCAACTATCACCGCTCTTAAGCCCTACCGTGGTTAAGCTGGCTGCACAGTGTCTACTGTGAGCCAACACACAATTACACACATGCACGTCCACATCCCCCATTAGACTGTGAGCCCCGCCAGGGCAGTAGCATGATCTGTTCTGTTTGTGTTCTGCCCCCAGCGCTGAGATCAGTGCCTGCACTAACAACCGTTTGTTGACTGAATGACTGATGGACAGATTGCATAAATGGGTGAAGTGACCACAAGCTGAGATCTGGAAGGGAAAAGGAGGCAATAAAATGTAAAGGGAGGAGGGGGGACGATATGGCTTAGTTGTAGAGTGTATCCTTAGCACGCACAAGGTCCTGGGTTCGATTCCCAGAGCCTCCATTAAAAAATTTTTTGTTTCATAAATAAATAAACCTAATTACCAAAATGTAAAGGGAGGAGCTGCAGAGAGAGATTCAGGCTGAGGAATGCCCGGCAAACTCAGGCTGGAGGGAGTACAGCACGTTTGAGACATCATTCATTTATTCCTGAGGTATTTTTGACCACCCGTATTAGCGCATATTACCTCGGGTCCCAGAGCGTGGACTCAAACTTGAGTCCTAGTCCTCTGAGCGGTGTTCCTCCACCTAAGCAGGATTTACAGGCATTCAAAGCAGAGTAGAGTGGTCTCCCCTCCGATGGGAGGATTAATTACTCTGCAGCCTGTTGGTATGTGGTCATTTGGCCACACGGTGGCGCTTCACGCCTAACAATTCAGTTACTTCTCTTTCCGTCTCTCAGAAGGTTTGAAATTCAAACGGAAAGGGGAAGAGGCGTGTCCTTTCTCAAAACAGCACAGATCCCATTGCCAGCGAGCCAGGGGTTGTCAGGGAGTGGAGGTGAGCTGGGTTCAATAACTGAGGAAAAGCCTCTGTTCTTGCTGGTTTCCTTAGAACTAAGGGGAAGTCTCTGGTTTGAAATCAAAGGACCCAGAATTCCACATCCAAAGCCCATTTTCCAGGTGTTTTTCACAACGTTGCACCAACTCCACGTTCTAAGTGAAATGTCACCTGCCTGTGTGGTGCCTGAAGGGAAGTGGGCCCTCCTGAGCCAGAGTTTTGACTTTCCTGGAAAGAGAGATCTTTTTAAATGATACCACCTGACTCAGAGAAAGACATTGTTACTTGCATTTTAATTTTTTTCTCGGAGGCTACATAGTACATGGGTCTGAGTTTGAACACCAGTTCTGACAGTAACTAGTTCTGGAGCCTCCAGGAAGCTACTTAACTTCTCTGTGCCTCAATGGTGTCATCTTTAAAATCCTACTTTATAGCATCCTGGTAAGAACGAAATAAGGGGAACCAAATGAAATTGCCGATATCCAACGGTCTTTAACCCACAAGAGCAGCGATTTCATGTGGCTGGTCCTGCAGTGCCTCCTGCCAGGTGCAGAGTGAGGCTTGGTGGCAGTGAGCGGTGATCATCCCGGCTGGCGTGCCAAGAGTACAATCAGCACTTACTGTGAACATTCAGAAAAGAAACCACTTTGTCTTCTGGAAGTTTTTCCTTAAGAGTCTTACTAGTAGGTGACCGTGTTTCCAAGGACTTGAGTTCCTTTATGAAAATATGCCTGAAAGAAATCTATGCGTGAGAGCTATGCTTTTTGCCAAACCATTTCTACCTGAAGCCTTCTCTCAGGGAGGTCCTAGTCCCACCAAGGTTTAAGAGCAGGGCCACATGGCACCACCTGTCCTCTGAGTGAAGCTGAGCACTCATCTCCTCCAGCATCCCGGCCCCCGTGCTCTCCCCTGCAGAGCTCGCCTCTCCAGGAGGGCACTCCACGCCTGCGACTGGTATTGAAACATCTCTCTCAGGCCCTCCCATGCACAAACGTCTGAGTTTCTCTCTTCTCTGTCTCATTCCCTCTTAGGACGCCCGGGGAACACTGGCTGATCCCATTAGCCCAGGGAATATGTACTGTTTTCACTTTGGCCGAGTTTCCAAAGCTGTAGCTCAAAGTGAGCCTTTCACAGGCCTGTGGGTGGGTTGTATTTTCCATCAGGGGGGACTCTGGGAGCCCAGAGGCTTGGCCACTTCCCACTTCGTGGTCCTGCTGCTTCAGGCCCTGGTAGGGAGCCGGAGGTGGACTGGGAGCCACAGACTGACTCCTGGCGTCCCCATCAAGAGGGTGGCCGCTCTGGTCCTAGGAATTCCAAAACAGGCAAAGAAAACCCGAGAATGGTTCTATTTTATCAGAGAAAGTTTTCTTCCCAGATGCTCTTTCCTTGCACTCTCCTCTTCATCTCTTTCCTCAGACTATAGAGATTTACCACCCTCCACCGCTCAACCTCCCTCCGGTACCTCCCCCTCCCCGCCTTGTCCTGTGGAAAAGGGAAGGTTCCTGCTTCTCACTCACACGGGACACTGTCCGCAGGAGAGGAGAGGTGCCCTGCAGGATCTCATTACCTATCATTGACTGGGTATCACACGAGGCTGCGTGTTTACAGACACACGTCTAATTTGGGGGATGAGGTCTGAACTCTTCAGTGTACTGAACGTGAGTTAAAAGTTAAGAAGCCAGACACAGAAGAGAAACATACTGTACGATTCAATTCACATGAAGTTCAAGAGCAAGGGCCACTGATCTATAGACAGTAATCAGAACAGCGGGGGTTGGGTGTTGGGGGGGACCTTCGGTCAGGATGGAGACATTGTCGCTTTTACTAGAGAGTGAGTCACGCAGAGTACACGGGCGAAGACATTTGTTAGAGTGCGTGGGACCGCACACTGAAGATCAAGGGAGGTAGCAGTGAAAAATGTCCTCAGAGCCACAATCACAGCGAGGGCAGGAGGGCCCTTATGTCACGGACGAGAGAGGGAGTTTCCACACACCGCAAGTTCTCACCAGGCTGTCTACGCCGCGGAACAACACAGAAAACGTCAGCCAATTTTCCAGTTTCAAAATCCAGGGACGTTCGTCTTGGTGCTCACACGGCCTATGTCTTTTCAAATGTTTACGGAGTATTTACGGAAAGTAGTCCTCTGGGTGGCAGTTGTAATTAGGAAAACTGGCAGCGAAAATTAACACATACCATAAAAGAGAGATAATTGCCCCACTGTCATATACAATATTATTATCAAACGGAATTCGGCGAGGAATCCAATTGGTCCCCACCAGCTCAACCTCGTTGTTCTAGGAAAGACCACCCCCCCTTCCTTGCTACCCTGAGGATGAAGCTGCCACAGCTCTCGAATGATATGCCATATGGTACTTAACATCATAATCAAAATGAGCTTGTGCTTTTTTGTGTGAGATGCTGAAATTTATTAGAAAATCAGAAAGCCTCATTTCCACCAAGTTCCTGAGACCTGCCATCTGCCGCACGAGAAAGAAAATGGGGTGTTGTTTTTTTTTAACCATTTACTTATTGTGAAATGTGAGAGTGCTAGTGTGTTTGAAAAAGCAGGGCTGGGGGCCGGGTTGAGGGGGGAGGGGTGTAGGAGCGAGCCGGAGTGGGCCCACTTGGCAGGGAAGAAAGAAGACTGTCAGCTGAATGGTGGCAAAGGCTTGGGGAGCATAATTATGGAAATCGCCTATTCCAGAGCCTTTTTTTCTCCCCCCGACCACATGTTCCTTCCGCATAGGAACAGCGTGTAGAGACGCCAGCTTTCGAGAATAAGCAAAGGCTGTTTCAGAAAGGAAGGAGAGGGAGCTTAAACAAGCACCAGCCTCTCGGAGCGTTCAGTGTCTCCGCGGAGGGGCAGCGGGTCGAGACAGGAGGGGGACAGACGGCGCGGCCAATGGGCTTAATGGGTGCGGCGGCGAGGCGGGCTTCCTGCGCGGAGATGCGGGAGTCCGGGAGGCAAGATGGGAGAGGGATCTGATGGGGGCGGTGGAGTGGTGCCCAGCGCGAAGGGAGAGATCTCTCAACGTTGTTTGCAATTGTACTGTAAGTGTTGCATGTTGAGGATACAAAGATGAAGGTGCTCAGTACTTCCAGGAGGTGGGCCAGATGTTCTGGCGTTTATTTCCGGGGAAAGCTTCCGTCTCCCGCGTCACTGGTTTCATGAGATGCTGCCTTGGTATGAGTCACATGCGTGTGTCCTTTCCGTACCTCCGCAGAGCGCCGCCGCCCGCAGGGCTTACCTTACCCCTTGATTTTACTGTAATTTTTTATTTTTACTCTGGTTTTTACAACAAAGCTGACATGTCTGCTGGAACTGCTGCAGGCAGTTTCCACTGGACGTGGTTAGTGGCTGGGTTTCTCACCTCTGATCACGATACTCAGGAAATAGGCCTCGAGCAAATGGGCTACCAGAGCCTGAGAATGGAGCAGCAGGGGGGTGGCGTGGGGGTGGCGTGGGCAGGGAGGACAAGAGTAAGGCGCCAGGGAATTTCACATCATAACATTATAGAGTCAAGTTCAGGCCAAGGCAGGCCTTTCCTGGACCACATCCAGGATTTAATTAAAGAGGAACTAAAAAGACCTCTCAATAGACAAACTCTTCTACAAGGCAGTCTTCCAGCAGGATCCCAGGGGCATCCTCAAAGTCAAGTTCGGGGTTCTGGGCGTGCTCTGGGGCCATGGGCCCAATGACTGGCCACCTGAGAGCACAGCCTGTACCCACTGGCACTCACCGTGGTGCCCTCACACAGGTAGGTCTGCCCAAAGAAAGGATGAATGACTTTGTAAAAGCCTCTGGTGGTCCAGGAATCCTGGCCTCCCACTTAAGCCAATCCAGGATACAGGGCTTCGCAGAGAGTCAGCCACCAGCCTGTCCCAGCAGGAATGTATCAGGATGGGGGCAAAGTGAGTTTCTGAATTTGCAGAGATTAAGTGGGAAGCGATCATAAATCCCAGGGTCCGGTGCAGTCACCATGTGCTGGTCCTCCAAGCCTTCTCCCACCGAGGGCAGCAATCGGCCGGGGCCACCTCCCCGCTGCTCAGTGCTTGGTGCTGCGTGGGTCTCTGGGGTCCAGGCCCTCGTGCTCTGCACTTGCAGAAAAGGCTCCGCTGTAGAGTCGGCCCCTCAGGGAGAAGTTCAAGGTCAGCCTTGGATGTGTGATGTCACCTAGAGCACTCGCGCCCGGGTGTGGAGGGGGTGGGGCAACTTTACTTTTTACCCCCTCTAACAAATAAGGGCCCCATCGTTAGCTTCTGGCCTGGAGGCCGGGGATCAGCTCTGAATTCCCCGGGGGCCGCCGCACCGCTACAAGACAGGCTTCCGCAGGTGCTAGGGATTCTCCCGAACCGCAGCGGGCAGACAGACGCAGACGGGGTGTCGCGATCGCTGGGTGGAGACATGGTAAGCTGCTCTCAGCATCTGTCCTGATTTCCCCTCAGCTCCCATGTGTCCAGCAGGCGCAGTAAATGCAATGAGGAATGTGCAAAGTCATCAGATGTAGCTAAACCTTACTCTTTTTGGACTTTAAATAAGAAGAAACAAATTGCTTCTTTTGAATACTAAAGTTTCTCAAGAATGTCCTAGTTACCACCCAGATAGCCCCCAAAAGATCGCATGGGGCTACAACCAGCAGCCGGCGCCTGGGTTTTCTTCCTCACACACTAGGAGACTTAGGCACGGTGTTTTCGCTGGACTCTTTTTCGCGAAGATTACTAGGGTGAAGAGTTACTATCTTTGTTAAGGTTGGATTGATTTTAAATGCCTGGAGGTATTTAATGATTTTCAAGGGTTCAGACATGAGGCTTCAGTTCAGTATTGATTTATTCAGTAAATATTTATTAAATACTTTCTATGTCCTGGGGACTGTCTTGGCACTTTAGTCCAGATATAGATAAATTATATCTACTTCTGGTCCCAAGGAGCTTGCAATTTAGCAAAGGAGAAGGGGGAAAATAGTGTATATGTACATATACATACACACATAATGTTTTATGTGTTGTGTGTGTGTTGATAGACAGCTAGGTAGATGGTACAGATAGATAGGCAATGTGTGTGTGTGCAGCTGGTGTTCCAACAAGACAGTCTCCTGGTGATGAGGACACAGAGGGGACACATGGAAGGCCGGCCAGTGTCCGGTGCAGGAACTGGGAATGGTCCAGCGACAAGGTGGCAGAGCAAAAGGGAGAAATGACCATCAGAGCAGTGCCGTCTGCTTGGGGAGGGCGGGAGGCACTTGGGCTGAGCCCAAGGTCACAGGAATAGGCGATGATGTGTGTTCCATTAAGACAGTTCCAGAGAGTGCTCTGAAGGCCAGGTGGGGCTGTGGTCACACACGGGGCAGGCAGAGCCGGGGAAGGACGGAGGGAGGAAGGGGAGAGGCCGCATTGTGGTGGGGAGCTGGAAAGACAGCCAGGTAGGACGCACATTCTGTTCCCAGAAAAGAGCTGCTGGGGGTCAGAGCCCCTCCCTCCTGGTGGCATTGGCCCTGTTCCCTTTACGAAATCCCCATGGATGAAAAGTCAAACTTATAAGATAAACCTCGAGGCTGACATCTGTGAGCCGGAGGAGTCTTCACTTTTTAAAACGGAGGCCGCTGGGTGCTTTCGAACAGAACCTCTCCTCCACAGGCCCCAGGTTAGGAGCCTTGCGTGGGGGACAGTGGGCATCCTATGTGGGTCGCTTTGTCCCTCACTCAGCAGAGGCATTCATGGGCCTTTGTTATTTTTATTTAAAAAAATTTTTTTTTAGTCTGAAGGAGAAAAGAAGGCAGGTTTGAATGAGCAAACCTAGCAGAAAATTCTTTTTGTTAATTCTAGTGCTTGCTCCTTATGGTGGGTCTCTGTCTCCTTTTACTTTCCTCCACTTTTTACGTCTTCCTCCACAAACACATCCAGTCCTAGGTTCATTTTTAGAAAGAAAAGAAAATTGTCCTTTCCCTGCCTTTTTGATGTGACAGGGGGTGAGTGCCCGTCCTGGTCCCGCTAAGCCCTCCCTTTGCCACCATTGTGTCTCTGAACTTATTCTAACCAAAGGATTCTCCATTTCAAAGGTGATGGCAATGAACCTCTTCTAGTTCTAACCGGATTTCAATTTTAGCTCATATGCTTTCTTTATGGAAATGACTCTTCCCTAGGTGGGGAATGGGCACAGCCACTAAACAAGGAAACTCACGAGGAGCAGGGAAAAAGTGTAATTCATTTCCCAGGAGGATGCATTGCTCATTTCCTACAAGCGACCACACAGATGTCTCTGACCAGAGATTCTGTGCTTCCTTATCCACGTTTCTCCTTTCGTTTTGTGTTGCAGTACGGATTCGTCAACACCTGTCTGCAATCCCTTGTGATAGAGAAATTTGGTGAAGAGACATGGGAAAAACTGAAGTAAGTGTATTAAAGGAAAGATGAAGATACTCTGGTACAGTTGGTCAGCCTCTGGTGTTTTGCAGGTTATGGGGGTTTTTACTAACTTTCTGATTAAACCAGTTAGTTGTGACTACAGAGATCAATTACAGTTCTTGAACATACCAAGTAAATACAGAAAAAGCCTGCTATTTCATAAGTCTTTATGGAAGGTGTCAGTCTCAGTTCTTAAAACCAGCCTTAAAACAGGGTTCCCATGTGAATAATACCAATATTATTCTACTTTTTATTTCATGAGTGAGTGTTTATTTGTTCTTTTTAATCACAGAAGAGAAAGCAACTGCATTATTTTCATGGCATGTAAATGAAGCTGCTAAAATCCCAGGGAAGAGGGGATATTCCTTCTAAATTTAGTCAGAATCCCTCCATAGGTGTTCCTTAGTTAACTGTGACCAGTTTTTCCTCTCTGCCTCTGTCTGGTAAACCCTTAACACTGTTGTTTACATCAGAGTCTCCTGTCTGATTCTTCTAATCCTGCGCTGTCCCTCTGCCTCCTTTGAGGTTTCCTGGCCTTGAAATGTTGAGGGATAGGGCTGAAGGGGGTCTCAGAAACCTCCTGATCCTATGAAGAGGTAGGAACTGAAAAATATGGGGTAATGATTAGCTTCCTCAGTTAATCAATGACATGCAAATGAAAACAATTAGGCTCTGCTTTGCCTTATTAAATCTCCAAAAAATTTAAATGATAATAACCAATTCTGGTTAAGATGCAGTAAAATGGGTAATTGCTGCTGACATTGTGAATTAGTGCAGCCCTTTTGGAAAGCGACTTGATAACGTGCACCAAAAACTATGAAAATGATGAAATCCTCTGCGGTAGTAATTTCATTCTTCAGTATTGATTCCCTTAGAAACACATATACTTTTATACAACATATATGTATGTCTATACATATATGCAGAAAGATGTAACCTTACATTTATGGGTAATAAGAAAAAGTTGTCTTTAAATGTTTAAAAGCAAACCAAACAAATGGAATATCAAAAGAAATGTGCACCATTGTTCAGAGGATTGCAAAAATCATGAAGCAATCTGTAGAATTTTATGACAATATAAGTAAAAAAACCAACAAATAAACGAACAAAAAGCCTCTCCCAAATAAGACACAGACTTACATAGCTACTGGGTAAACTACACAAAGGGGAAAAAGAGAAAGACTAAAATAATGATTCATAGTAATTGAATTAGAAAGATAAAATACTGGATGACTGACTTTTCCCCCCAATACCTGTATGTTTTCATTGCTTTTGTAATGTAAAAACAGTTTTAAAGTGCTTAGTGCAAACTTCCCTCATCCCCCCACTGCCATCTGAAAAACAGAAGAATAAGAGCTGAGAGTTCTGGAGACTTGTAAGCCTGAGACTGAGCTGAGGAGGAGCCAAGAGGTTCCCACAGCCTCAGCCCCTGCTCCCCGAGACAGCAGCCAGCTTCCCACACGCGTGGGCCCAGAGCCCCGCCTCGGGAGAGGCAGCCCAGGCCACTTCCACAGCATCCCTGGGGTAATTCAGTTAGACATGCCGCAGGTTTGGGTGGGAAAAAGGAGCTCTGGCCTCATCCAGGCAAATAATACATATTTCCAAGTGTTTCAAGGAGACACGCTGGATAATTACAACCAGAGAAAGTTTGGACCGGTGGGCCCTTGAAAGATCATCCTGCCCAGATCTCCTCATTTTAAAGGTGAGAGAAAACTAAGGCCCAGAGAGGTTAGGAGACTTGCCCAAGGCTGCACAGCAAGTGGTCAACAATGTCAGTATCTTGAAGTGCTCCTGTTCAGTCCCCTAAGCTGCCTTGGGAACAGAAGCATTTGAAGACTTCTTTTTTTAATGGCTATTACATTGTAAAGGGTGAAGTCAGTAAGAAGGGCAAGGGAAAGGACGGTCTCAGGTGGAGCACTTGCTCTGGGCCAGGCCACTTTCGTGATGATCTGATTAAGCCCAGTAAGGGTACCACAAGGCAGGTTTCAGTCTCATTTCACCCAGAGGGAAGCTGAGCCCCAGAGAGGACCTTGCTGAAGGCCACAAGGTTAAGTTCCAGGGCTGGGACTCGAACCCAGACCTGTGACTGCAAAGGCTCCTCTTTCTAAAAGGCCACCTGCCTGTGGGGGAAGGAAGAGCGACTGGTAACACAATGAATTTCCATTCATACTGAGTCTCTGGGGGAAAAGAGCCACTGTCTCTCTAAGCCGAAATGTCTTGAGCTCCTGTGGTCTGCCTGGTGCTGGGAAAACCTCTGGAGGATTAACGAATCACATAAGCCATTTTGCCCGGGTGGTTTTGTAATCTGTAGAAACATTCCCTGTATACCTGGGACACAGGAACTAGTGCCAAGGGCCCACATTGGATGGGAAACTGGCATCACTGGCTTTGCCACAGGCTGGACGGGAGCAGGTCAGCCACAGCCCGGCCCCCTCCGCCTGCCAGAGGGTTAGCTGCGCCCACCAGGGTGTGGGCAGTCTTAAGAGGAGGAGGAGGATGGGAGAGGTGGCGAGCGCAGAAGCTGTTGGGTGGACATTGCGGGGTGAGGTAGAGTGGAAACCCACTTAGGGAATGGGGTGTTTGCACTCTGAGGGGCACTGGACACAGCCACGTGTCCTCAGGAAGTCGTGGTTGGTTTCAGAAGGGACTCGAGCTACAACAGATGAAGCCCAGATGCACCCTGATGTGACCTGCGTGTTTCAACATAAAAGAATAAAAGCAGCTAACCACATGGGGTCGTTGCAAGTGCTAAATAACACTAACAAGGCACTTGGGGGAAAAGATGCCTGGTGAGCGCGCACCCTGAACAGACGTAAGCTGTGTGGGTGAAACTGGTGCTCACCCTTTTCCAGGTGTGAGTGCTCGGGGGCCGGGGAGCATTTGAGGGGCAGTGGGCCTTGCTCCCACTGGACTGGACTTGAGTCCTGGCTCTGCTGCATGGGACTGGCCATTTCACCCCTCCGAAGCTCTGTTTCCTCACTGATGAAAGGGGAAAAACTCATCTGTCTTTCTGGGTGCCCTGGAGTACATAGTAGGTGCCCAGTGTCATTCCCTCTCTGATATCCATGTGCAGCCTTGGGATTAGATTACATTTGACATTAATAGGCACCACTTTGCTGCCGGGCAGATAACTGTGCCTTCCATTGTGAAGAGGCAGGTGTTCCTCTAGGGTGTCCACTTTGCTCAGAGGAGCTCTGGCTTCCTCAGATAAGCATCGTTTGGTGGATGGCATTGCCTCTGCTCCTCTTTTCAGACTGATTCCCCTGACACAGACCAGTCCAGACCTGCATTGAGGACACCCATAAACACTAGTGACCAGCCGGGAGAGGAAGGGGGTGGACAGATGTTTGTTGATTGATTTTTGACTTACGAACCTTGCATATCTGAACTCTTGGTTAGGACCTTGAACCTTGGCTTAGCTGATGGCCCAGAAGAGTCCGTCCCGACTAGGAGAGAGGTCAGGGCTCTGGAAATAACCAGAAGTAGCTGGAACATTTAGATATGAGTGGAGGTAAAGCAACAAGGTGTTCAGTCTGCCTGTGACAGACCCCTCACTGTCCCTTCCATATGGAGCAGACATAGCATTAATGGCTCCCGGGGCCTTGACAGGTGGAGATGTTCAACATACCTTTGCAAATCTAGGGAAAACCCAGCTTCCCATACGTAAGTAGCTGGAAGAAGTTTTTTCCATTTGGGGCCCTTGGGGTGACCTCACTGAAAGCAATGGCCCATTTTCTCTTCCTGCCCCAGCCGGGTATTTCTCATAGCACCCCCAAACAAACAGTGAGCCCTGGCATCCACAGAGACTCCATGGTGATAAGGACATTTGAACAAGGGGTGCAGGGAAGGTGTGAGGGAATCAGAGAAACATGTCCAGGGACAGAGAACTTGGTGGGGCCGTATCCCATCTGTGTCACTAGGTTTCACCTCTTTCTACCAATTCTCTGCTTAATTGAGTCTCAAAGGATATGTTTATATACAGAACACTAGACACCTATGTGGTGGCACTGGAAATGCATCTTTAAACCAAAAGCAAAAGGCCTAACCAGCTCAACCAGCTATAAAAATTGCACCATATTAGCAGTCATTAAAAAAAAAGAGCCTGCAGTGCAGACCACTCAACTTATAAAATGCAAATTAAGGCGAGGTTATTTGTGCGCAAAAAGATTTCCTTCAGGCTGCATTTAAATAACAAGTTCCCTGGTGCTTCTAAAATAGAATTTACCTGGGAAAGAAAATCCCATCAATTTCCACACAAATTTTAAGAAGAAACAATTAGGTCAAATGGAGTATGTCTCCAGACTTTTACATACATTTTATTTTATATGAAATAATCAGAAACAGATGTTTCTCCTCCTTTGCCTGCATTATTTATTTCTCTCTCATATAACCTCGATTTATAGATTTCTCATTATGACCACTCTTTTATAACCTCCTGGCTAAAACCTTTGTCAAGACTTAACAGTGAGAAGCAACTAACTTATAGATTAAGAAGAATAAAGCCCCTGGAGTCAGATAAACTTTAACATTTTGCTGGGATAACTTACTCGCTGTTTGACTTGAGCAAGTTTATTTGCTCTGCAAGTATTTCTTCAGCAACTAGTACGTACCAACCAGAATTCCCAGCACTGGGAATAGTGATGAAGGAAACAGATGAGCACTCTGTTCTCTGTATTCCAGTGTGGAGTGGCAGACTATAAACAAGTAAATAAAAATAAATAAAAGAAACCTTTCAGATTGGGCTAACTGCTACAAACGAATAGGGTACTTGCTAGTGACCCAGGAGAGAAGATGCCTGTTCCCTGAAGTGATTAGAAAAAGCCTCCCTGCAAAGGTGAAAGTTGAGCTGAATGGCAGGAAGCAGCCAGTTTGAGTCAGGGAGCTATGTGTGTTCCAGGCAGCGAGCACAGCATGTGCAAAGGCCCTGAAGTGGGACTGAGTTTGGTGAATTTGAGACTCAGAAGAAAAGTCAATGTGACTGGTGT